CCCATCAACAGATGAATGGATGAATAAATTATGGCATATAGCTACAATGAAATACTATTCAACCATGAAAATGAAGTACTGGTACATGCTACGTGGATGAACCTTGAATACATTATGTTAAGTGAAAGAAACTAGACACAAAAGGTCACACATTATATAATCCAATTTATATAAAATATCCAGAAGAAGAAATCCACAGAACACAGATTGGTAGTTGCCAGGGTCTGGAGGGAGTGGAGACGGGGGAGCCACTGCTTAATGGGTATGAGGTTTCCTTTCAATGCGATGAAAATGTTCTGGAACTAGATAGAGGAAGTGGTTGCACAACATTGTGAATGCTCTAAATGCCATGAATTGTTCACTTTAAAATAGTTAATCTCATGTTATACGACTTTCATCTCAATTTATAAAAACCATTAGGCTAAGGTATTTTTACATATTATATAAATTCTCATAATTGATTTAGAAAAAAAATCACTTATACTCACCATTTGTTCTACTTTCTCCTCTCATTCATTTCTATACTCGCTGCTCCAGAAAAACTGTAGATACAATGAACTCCACTGACTTCCGTGCTGCTAAATCCCATCTGCCCTTTTCAGTCCTCATTTAATTGAACTCTACCAGCTGACACTGCAGCCGACTCCCTCCCTCTTGACATGCTCTCCTATTTTGGCTTTTTTGACAACACATTACCGCTGCTCCCTTTTTCCTCTCGCTACTCATTGCTCTCTTGCAGGGCTCCTCTTCTCCTGCCTGTTTCTTAAATGTCAGGGTTCTCCAGAGTTCTGTCCACCACAGACTATTCTCTTCTCATTCTATTAATAATACTCTTTATGGCTGATCATACACACTCCCATGGTTTCATGTATCATCACTGTACACACAAATCCAAAATATGTTCCTCAAACTGGGATTCAACCCTGGAGCTCCTGTCCCAGATTTCCAAATGCCTAGTGTACCTACTCACACGGGTATTCCATGGGCTCCCCAAGAGAGACAGATCCAAAACCAAACTCACCATCTTACTCCATAAAATGCCTGCTCCTCTTTTTCCTGTGTTCCCTACTTCAATGAGCAATATTGGTTTCTATCCAGTTGCCAAAACAGGAAATCTGGGAGACATTCCTGACTCTTCCATTCCCTTCTCAGCACCTACATGGATAAACTCAAAGTCACTTCCTTGCTCACTGCCACAGGTCTTCAATCCACCCGTTACCTATCACCTCCTTCCACTTACCACTAACTTTTTCTTGAATTACTGCAAAAGTCTCCTGAACTGTTTTCCTTCTCTCTAATTCTGTCCTTTCATCAAATTTAGTGTCCCAATCACAGTCACAATCACAGCAAGTCTTTACATCATGAACGTTCTTCATGGCACTTGTCTAACGAAAACCCTGCATGGTTCCCGTTTGCCCTTGGGTAAGGTCTAACTGCCTTAGCAGAGGACAAAAGGTCCTTTATGATCAAGCCGTGATTAATTCCACAATTTCATCTTTTCCAACGTCCTGCCCCTTACTCAACCAAAACAAACAGAAAAGTTAAAACAAACTAAAAACAATACTTCCATGAAGCTAAATTAGAATTGGCTCCCAACTTACGTCATAATTAGTCTCTACACAACTTATTCTCAGTACAAGAAGCCCATCTCAAGAGATGACAATACAAAAATCAGTCAACAAAAGTGAAACACATATATACATATGTTTTCCTAATGAATCAATGTAAAAGATAAGTTGTAAATCTACACTGGGGCACATTCCTTTTCGCATAACTAAAATAGCTGAGATCCCTTCAAATTGGAACCCAAATAAATTTTAGTGAAGACACCTCAATGTTTCCCCATTAAATCTTCTCTTTATAAGCAGAGCCTTTTTTCAATTGTTCTAAAGACATTTGAGCTGTATTCAAAATCACAGATAACTGTGTCAAAAATGGTCCTTGCTTATTTGACTTGCAAAACATGCCTCAAAAATGACAGTCACAGAGGGCAAATCCTGAAGGAATGACAATTTTCTTCTCTTACTCCTCCTACCCCTCTCAGATCTCTTGTTGCCTGTTACATTAACTAAAATAACTTTCTTGAATGATAACCTTCCTCTTCAGTGGTTCCTAACTTTCTAAAAAGTTTCCTGAAAGTTCTGAATTGATACCTGCAAACTTCCCTCTGCATCCTAATGTAATGAAAACCTTATTCTCTTGCCAGAGGTCTCAAACCATACTTTGGCCACTGTGCAAATCTGTCTTACCAAATATAGCCTTAAATTTGGAAGCAACACACCACATTTGAGTTTTTCATACAACAAAAGTACCTTGCAAAATAGGAAAAATGACTTTTTTTTTCTTTTGGTTTTGAAAAATGATTTCTTAAGACCTGGAGAAATGATAGTGACATATATTCCAGAGGCTAAGTAGGTCAAAGAAAACCAAACCACAAACGAATGAACAGTAACGTATGAATTATTATGTATTTCAAGATTAAAAAATAACAAGTATAATTATCTCTCTGTTCTCAATGAAACCATATTTTCTTGATTTTAAAAACCTGATTGTTTTACACTTCAATAATTCTGAAATCAAAAGGCACCTTAGAATCTATGTATATTTTCATTGTAACATTTTTCCCTTAAAGCCTGTTATTAAATAAATTATAGGTCTTAAAATAAATACAATCTTAAGTTCAAGGAAAAAATAGTTTAAAAAATAAAGATTTCTTTGTAATATACTTTTGTGTTTATAAGTGAATATAGATTTGAAATTCTTGAAATTACTTCAAGTAAATTTAAGAGAGGTTACCCAATGAGCATCAGAATCAGGAGAAGCTGCAAAACTCTCCATATCTCCAAATGTATCTGTTGTTTTCTCAGTTCTGCCCTGAAATCCCCAGCACATTGAAAACACAAATTCTAAACTGAGCGGAGTAGCCCATTGTCATACCACCTCGGAATAGCGGTCACTAAATTCTCATGGTACACACAGACTTGTGACTGCTAGAGAGAA